ACCTCCACCTATTGATGTGGCTCAACCACAAACTAACACTTATCCTTTCTTATATTCTCAAAAGTGCATTTATTTTTCACTTTAATTATTCTTAACATGAGAGACACGTGTCAGATTGTGGCTAAGCCATATCAGTAAGCAAGGACAAGTTCCTCTCCTTATGGGCAAGAAGAGAAACATTATCCAAAAGAAAACCAATGTTATTTATACTCCTAGTATGGTTCGGAGTGCTGTAGACGTAAATGATTACCATTTCATAAGTATTGTTGCCTAAAGATTCGCGTGTGGGCAACTAACCGTTGTTGATATAAGCTCACGCTTCGATTAATGACACGCTTGAGTGATTGTACTTAGCTTGAGCATCTCTAGAAGAGTCCCAAATTTTAGCTAAATTTTAGCTAAAATAGCTAGAAAACTATTATAGCATACTACTTAAAAGTAGTTTCCTCCATCAATGTTCTCTACTTTGGCTAATCTATAATATTTTATTATTTCTCTCTTATTCTCTTTAGGGAGAGAGAATATGAAGAAATGGAAGACCCTCAAATTCTCTCTCCTCTTCAAATGTAGAGAGCCACCAAACTCAAATCGGGAGTTCGTCAAAATAAAAAGCCAACAAGTAAGTGTACTAGAGTTGTGTTTTGCCCTCATTCTAGCCAAAATGGCTAAGGATCAGAGTATAGCAACTCTACTAGAGATGTTATTAGCATAAATCCTAATTTAAAGATAAACATCACTATCATAATACTAACTACAATTCATGATCTTACCTCCTACTAAAAAGTTTCAAGTATGTTTCATTTCCTTTTTTGAATACAAGCGACAGTTTAAAGTACAGAAGGGAGGGAAATTTCTTACAAATACACACTATCAAGATGCCTTGGGATTTGATATTGTTAAAGGGCTTGGCCTTGTACCAAAAACAAGGAGAGCTAAGTTTCTGGAGCTGCATTTCTAAAACAACTTAATTCCAAAAATTATTGATGGGGATCCGTCCAAATAGGTCATTTTAGGATGTTAAAATCATGCGAAGGGCAAAATACCACAAACAAAAGGAAATAAAACCATTTTGGGCACATTATCTTTTGCGTACAAAAACAAAACAAATACGTAGCTATTAGAAGTTTGAATCAATGCAACTCAACTTGCACAAAAGTCGGACGTGCGTTATTCGGCAGCAACATCAAGTCATTTTCGTAGTCATAAAGTATTTGTTTTCAAGTGGTAGCAACCCACGCCTGCATATACATCTAATCTCTCAGTAACCAAGAACTATTGCCAGGTAAAGTAACCGGAGTTGGAGTGAGAGTGGCCAAAAGTAACCACACCATCTTTGTCGGCAATGAGATTTAGGGGTCCGAGGTGACGATAAAAAATAGCCCCACACGGGACTAAAATTTTCACTTATTTAAAAACCTACAAAACACAATATGGAAGTTGAAATTAGGCCCTGAAGTTAGAAAACTGACATTCTACTAACTAGTACCATATTGTAAAATCTGTGAATTACAACGTCATTTTAAGAGGCTCTTTTCAAGTACGGTCTTGATTAACGTCGAGATGAAACCCTAAGATCAATGAATCATCATCATCATGTCTATTAGCAGGCAATTGCACAAGTCCTCTGCAATGATGTAGCAAAACATGACCCTTGGAATATTTTCGGTATTTAAAAAAAATAAAAATAAATAAAAAGACAAAAAAGAAAAGCCAGTTATATTTTTTCCCAAACTTATGGATTTGTGGTGAGGTTTTTGATTGGGCTCTTTCGGGCTTTGGCCCTTACTGGTTTATTTTCTTGTTTACCTATTTGTTGGGCTTCGTAATCTTAGTTTGAGCCCTTTGTGTTGTTCTTTATTTTGGGCTCTGGCCTTTTACTTTCTCTGGTTGAAAAAAATTCCTTTATTTAAATAAAAAAAGAAAAGAAAAAGAAATCTGTGAATTATGGTTCAGCTTGCCGACTTTTCAGAGGGATCAAGACCAACTGTGATTTGAGTGATTTCATGGTCAACCACTAACAACAATGGCTTTATTATGTGCATAAATCATAAGAAAAATACTTCCCTCCGTACCATGAAAAATAAGAGTTTTTATATTCTTGTCAATAGCAGTGTGACATATGTACATAAGTTTTTCTTTGTGTATTTTCGGTGAATTATTTTTACATATGTGTCACACTGTGATTCGTAAGAAGAAAGAATATCTTCTTACAGATAAGAAAATAAGTAGTGTTCAAATCATAATATGGGTGAAAAAATAGGAGAAAACAAAGACCTTTTATCGTGCTTCATGTGTGTCTCTGAGTCTGTGACTGTGTGACCAACTAAACCTATAGCCTAGCTTTAGTAGAGACAGAAGGCAGCCATAGTTCTCTGGAAGCAAGTGCCTTAACTAGGTCTCTAAATTAATCTGAATTAATTATATGCTTCAAATCATAAGAAAATGACAAATAATTTTGAGGCTGTGATTGACCCCCCAGCAGCAGCCTTGTCAACTATCAAAATGTGTTTTTTAGCACCGACAGGCATTTTTTTTTTCCTATCAGCTTGCATAATTTAAAAAGTAAATTTCAAAGGCATTCAATTATTATCGATATCGTTATTTTTGCATTACATATATTATCTCCGCATATATTTTTTATATTTTAGGATTTTAAACCGTCTAAATCATAATACTCGAAGGAAACTGTACAGTTTTGTGTACATTGTGTAGACATTTCGCATAAATCAACGCTCGATAGGCAAGAATACTGTTTCTTTCCTTTGTTTATGGAACTAAAACGGTGCTCTTTACATCTTGAGAGAGAGAGAGAGAGAGAGAGAGAGAGAGAGAGAGAGTCTTGACTCTGTCTTGCAGCTTATAGCATTTTTTTAAAACTGACTTAAAAAGAAAAAGTCATGAGGGAGAATATGAATTCTACACGCACATGTGAAGTGGAGTGAACACATGAATTTTGGAAAAAGTTTCTAATATTTTTCAAGAGATTTAGGAGCTTTTGAGGATAAGGAGTGGATGAGAGAACTATGCAAAAGAGAATTAAATGAAGCAAGCCCATGTTATGTCACCAACCAAAATCCATAAAATAAAATAATTGAATTTGATGCTTTACTTTGTGTCACTAACAACTGCTGATGCTGGCCTTGGCATTTACGTGCCCCTCACAACCTCTCCTCCTCCTCTCTCTCTCTCTCTCTCTCTCTCTCTCTCTCTCTCTCTCTCTCTCCCTTATAATTCCTTACGCCAAGAATCTCTCCCTCTAAACCCTATTCCTCTCTAACCCTCAATTTAGTCACCGTCCAAACAATATTTCTTTATTTTTATATTATGTCTTTACTTTCTCATTCACGTCAAGTAGCAAAATGACACGTATTACAATTATTATTACGTATAAGGAAAAATAGAAACTCCTTTTTCCCCTTTCCCATTCCATTTCTGAGAATTAATGTAATATATATAACATTTGTTTTTCCACAATAATGTTAGCTTGGTGGTAATCTGTACTCTTGCTGTTATTGTTATTACGCAATCATTGGAGATAGAGTATGCATGCAGCATGAGGCTGTTTGAATTCACTTTTATAATCATGCACAAGTCATCAATTACCTCATCTTTCATAACTTCAACTTTTAGAATCTAACCATTTGCTCACCTCATTCCATTGCCATTATAAAGTATTTTTAGTGTTTTGGCTATTCGTAGATTGTGAAATGAGTCAAAACGAGCAGTTAACGTTGTATTAACTTATTATAACTGGTTAACGCTACTATACATACATATATATATATATATATATATATCACTGATTGCTTTCGAAAATTGTAAGCGTTCATTTGATTTGGCAGCTAAGTTCTACTAAGAAAAGTGTTATCATTTTGTGCTTTTTACCAACCATTAAATTTTTATTTCATTACTTCTTCTTTTTTTCTAATGGAACAGCCCTAATGATTGGAGGGAGCATAAAATGTCAATCCAAATAATTGGATCATAATATAGACATAGGGCGGCGTGATTTTGGGGTTATTAACTTATTGTCTATCCAAGAAGTGATTAGCGTATAATATGAAGTAGGTGGGTCAACTGCACATGAACTGCTTAATTAGTTTGATCAAGTCACTAATGAATTTGCAGTCTATTAATAGTTAAAAAGATTATGAAAATCCCCTCCTCACAAGTCACAAAAGATCTCCTCCACCAACAATTTTCAAACATTTGGGTGATGGCTTATTAAATTAGTTAATTAGTTAAGAGTTAGTAATGCTATATTGCTGATCGTGATTTCCGTCACGTATCTCTCACCTTTAATGTAGTAAGTAATGTGATCGATAAATATGATACAGACAGTATTGTTGATTAATTAAACTGCACTGTTAAAGAACCCAAAAATAGTTCAAACTAATGATAATTAACAGACGTGTAGAGAGCAAGAAAAGTAAATTAGTAAGAAATAGGAAAAAAAAACAAAAAAAGGTGGGCGGAGATGCACAAATTCTGCGGCACTCACAGGCTTGCAAACCAATTTTCTTCCTCTACAGAAAGGAATCGTTGGAAAAAAGTAATGGGTTTGCTTCAAAGCCAACCGAATCTCACTCGTTGCCTCGCTTCCTCACACTTACATTGCATCTCTCTCTCTCCCCCAATACACACCTGTAATATGTTTGTATAAATGCCCCACAGAAAGATATTCAAACATATATTTTCCTATTCTGTATTTCTATTTATAACTTCCAAGGTTGGAAATCGAAAACGCCAAGCTTGGCAATTAGGCAAAAACTCACGGTTACTATACTATTCATCACCTGGGTGGCTTTTTTTTTAGACTCACCACTACTTAAAACTCGCTCTTCACCACTATAATTACAACCCCACTTTCTTAACGTTGCTTCTTCAATTCAATTCACAGCCCATCTCTCTCTCTCTCTCTCTCTCTCTCTGCTTTTTCTCTCTGGTCTCAAGCGTTTTGTTGGTACTGCTCTGGTTCTTGGTGTGGTGGGTTGATCAAGATGATGATGATGATGATGATGGACGGTGCAGATCATCAAGATCATGAAGAAGCTGTGATGGGTTATAAGGATCAGAGCCAGATGATGATCATCAAAGGCAAACGCACCAAACGGCAGAGGCTGGCTTCTCCTGTTGCTCATGCCTCAACAGCAACAGCTTCAAGCTCATCTAGTGCAGGTCATGATCATCAACATCAAGTCCTTGTTGGTCCCACAGAAACCTCACCAGCCACCTCAGCTGATCAATTCACAGAGATCAGTACAGAAGAAGAGGAGGACATGGCAAACTGTTTGATTCTTTTGGCTCAAGGAAATTCAACCCCCAAAACCCAACACCCCATATTGGTTCACAACAATAAGGCTTCAGCTTCAGCTGGGTTATATGTTTACCAGTGCAAGACATGTGACCGGTGCTTCTCTTCGTTCCAAGCTCTTGGTGGACACAGAGCCAGTCACAAGAAACCCAACAAGGCTAACATGAACATCACACAGGACAACAAGAAAGCCTTGTCGTTCGTGGAAGAAGCGGAGGAGTATGATCGGTTTAACAACACGAGCACCACCCTTTCGTTACAAATATCTAATCGGGATTACAGGGCATCGAGCAGTGCTGCTACTCCCGTTATTAATAGCAAAGCCAATAAGGTTCATGAGTGTTCAGTTTGTGGTGCTGAGTTCACATCTGGTCAAGCTCTAGGGGGTCATATGAGGAGGCACAGAACATTTATGAACACAACAACAACAACAGCAACAACAGCGGCTATGAGTTCTCCGCAGCCACAATCAGGATCAAAGAGACCAAGAAGTATTTTGCAGTTGGATCTTAATCTTCCTGCACCAGAAGAAGAACGCCTCGAAACCAAGTTTCCCTTTGGCCCCAAGAAGGAACAAGTCATTGTCTTCTCCACCTCTCCTTTGGTGGGTTGCCATTACTAAAAGCACAGCTAGCTATAGCGGCAACCCCAAACATCAATGTGACCCAATTAATTGTTAACACCATTGTTACTCATTCAATCTCCATTGTTGATTCTTTTATACATGTCCAAACTTTAATCATATAGTTGAAATTGATGAATTCTTTGGTTACTTAACTGACTTGTGTATTAATTTTTTGTTGTCAAATTTTTTTTTGGGGCCATGTATGCTACTGTCCATATATGGTGGCATTTTTTTGGCCAGTCCTTTCCTTGTCGGAAAAGAGCATATATCTGAGGAGAGTTAGAATTGAGAATGATAGCAAAGGAGGGTAGGGGATTGTCAATTGAAATGACTTTGCCGGCACCACCAAAACCTCAACCGAAAGTAGGGGATTAGGTTCCCTTGTTTGGTTTGCAAGAAAGCTAAAAAGCTTTGTCTCTGTCTATCTTTTTCATACATAACTGACCAAAAAAGTTTAAACGGATGGCAAGCAAAGCTAGTACCTCCAAGCTAACTGCCCTTCTTTTATGGATCCACTTTTGCATTTATATTGGGAAAGTGATACACCACACGCTCTCTTATTCCGTTATGTTAGTCCAATCAAAACTATATCTACAAAGATGCAAAGTATATGAACGTGTACTGACTCATGCTTTCTTGGGATAGGATATAACGGGAAATATTAATTATACTGTTTAAAATCATAACGATAAAACTATTTGTACCATATTTATACATCACATTTTCAAGACAAAAATAAAATTTCTGATCGGTTATCTATCAAGCTACTTAGACGTAACCATTCATAAACATGTGCTCGTTTGTTGAAATATTAGTCACAAAGGTTGATCTAATTTTTCTTGTATTGTTGGCTATGTGCTCATGGTGGGTGCTGAAAAGGTTGGCATGTGATCACTTTGCGTGAGATGCATATCCATCGATCCATTTGCATTATATATATATATATATATATATATATATATAGAGAGAGAGAGAGAGAGAGAGAGAGAGAGATGGGGGCCATTGGCAATTTGGCAACTGTGCATGGTTTATACGCTGCCTTAAACAAGGAACCCCAAAACACTAAAATTTCAAGGCTCACAAGAGGCTCATATTTAAAGTTGTCAGTCACTAGCTTTTGTTTGAGCAAGGACTCTAATTTATTGGTGCTACCCACCCTTAATCCATACACCATGGAAAAGATGAGTGCACCAAATCTTCATCATCAGTAGAAATATGGTATAAAATGTTTACCCATGTTTCTGTATGAAATTTGTATAATTGATCTTGGAGTATCTTGTACTTTGGAATGATGTGGTTTTAAATCTGTAAATATGGGCCAGACTCAATAAGTTGAGCCCAGCCTAACCTAAGTTTTGACCAGGGCTTTGCAAAGTTTAAAATAAAAAATAAGTTGTAAGTGACGTGTAGTTAAGTGATTAAAAACATTTATGATTAAAGTTTTAAATTCGATTTCTCTATAATATCGCTTATATTAAAATAAAAATTCATAAACTGGTTTGTTTGATTTTAATTTGACTTTTTTGGTCAACAATTTTTTTCTTTCTTTAGTATGTTTCGATTAGGTTCACCAATTCACCATTTCAGATGTCCACCCCTAATTTCCAACAGTTAAAATGTTATTCCATCAGGAAATGAAACAAGTGAAAATACTAACATGTGATTATTATTATTTTGGTCGCAAGTACTGACATGTGATTAGTCACATTATTTGAAGACTAAAAATGTGATCAGTATCCTAATTGCAACAGTCCAGTGTGGTTCCCAAAGGCCCAAAACTGTAATTTATCAAAACACATACAAATTCCGCAGTACCTTTTGGCCTCTTAACCCCTAGTTTCGAAAATTAGAACACACGAAGCACCGAACCAAAAACCCACAAACATTCAGAAGAGAATGGCGGTTCCAGGGAGGCGGAATGGTATGGAGGAAGATGACAACGAAGACGAAAACGCTCTGTTCGAAGAAGAGGGCTTGGAGGACCTCGACTCTCACACCCCTCCTCACCTTCGCGCCATCGCTGACGCTTCTCAGCAAGGCGACCTTGACGCCCTTCGCCTCGCTCTTGGTACCCCTTCGCCTCTCAATTTTCATACCCACTTTTCTTTAACAGATTTTTGAGCTTGATTCCTCAATGGGTTTATTGCGATTATGATTTGGTTTGGCCATTTAGCTAAATTTTGTTAAACTTATGGACCCAAACGACTTAAACAAAGAATTCTGCTGAAATCTTGTCACAGATTGGTTAATTATGTTTGTATTTCAGTGGTTAGTGTAAGAAAGCTGGAAACTTTCATTAATATGTGTTTTCATACTGGCCCCTCTTAGTTATTTGATTGTACTGTATTCAAATGCTTTGGGAAATAATATATTCATGGAACTTCATTTTTTAAATTTAAATTTTTTTTTTTTTTTTTTTTTTTTTTTTTTTTTTTCTTTCTGTTTGATGGATGTGTGTTTTTAATTTTTAATTGCTCAATTTTGGTTTTTTGTATATAGCTTTATTTCTGCTTTATGCTTGCCTGCTTCTTTCTGATTGTATCTAGATAACTTAGAAGGAGGCAGCATTGATGAACCAGTGGAAGATGGGGACACAGCTCTCCATCTTGCATGTCTCTATGGCAATCTTTCTTGTGTCCAGGTTTGTTTTGATCAATTCTTTGTTCTTTATTTATTTGTTGCAAGTAGTACTTTGAACTGATAATAATTGTTTCAATTTAGTTACTGTTGGAAAGAGGTGCAAACTTGGAGGCTACGGATGAAGATGGAGCAATTCCTTTGCATGATGCTTGTGCTGGGGGTAAGCACTTGTTGCCATCGTGATGTCTGAATTCATATTTCAATTCGATTTGTTTGACTTTTCCTCAAATGAATATTGCAGGCTACACTGAAATAGTTCAACTTTTGATTAATGGTGCTAATGATGCTGCCCGTGTAAAGAGAATGCTAGAAACAGTTGATGCCGAAGGCGATACTGTGAGTATTAACCAAATCACATCCTTTTGTTTTACATGGGAGTTCCAATTGTGAATTTTTCTTTAGTTTTCCAGATGAACTGCGTATTAAAAGCAGTTGTACTCTAGCCTTATTTCTTGTCGGTTTTGTGAACGTTATACTCATATACTGCCATTTCTTCCATAGCCTCTTCATCATGCAGCGAGGGGTGAGCATGCTGATATTATAAGATTGTTGCTGGCTTCTGGAGCTTCTCCTACAAAGGCGAACCTATATGGAAAGGTTTGTATTTGAAGGAACTTTATAAATTATACGTTTCCTGTTGTTGTGGTGTTTCTAATTGAAATTTTGGCAGATCCCAAGTGATTTACCAGAACTAGCCACAGAAGCTAGGACAATATTGGAAGCTGCAGCTGGTGCGACGGCATGCCAGTAGGCTTTACTTGCTGAGGATTTCGTGAAGGATGTGACTGTGCTGCTTTTATCTTATTAGTATTACCAGTCAGCAACACCAAAATGTTGACGATTTTGTGCCCCTTTGTTTATCATTAATACTTTCAGAATTTAGGATATTAAATATAGAAAAATAGCACATACTTGTGCAAGGTTTTAGGCTATGCAGTTTCTCAAACTCCATGTATGCAGGTTTTCTGTTTTTGCTTTTCTTTGCACCTTTCCAATGTTCTTTGGGTGGGGCGATGCAATATCCTGTAAACCATGGTTTTCGCTTTTTGACTAACCTGAGGATTGTTGGGTCATTAGTATCACAGTTGAAAACAAAATTCTATTTATTTTTCTTATGGTTACAGTTAATAGTTACTGCTCGCATGGACTTGCGTGAGACCGAGAGCCAGCCATGTGTTTTGCTGGAAATTGAAATTGGAGTTGGCTAGAAAGCTGTATAATTGTATGCTATGGTAATTCAAGCAATGAAATTGGGAGTTGGTCAAACTCACTCATTTTCTATCTTTTAGACTCTTTGGTATTTGAACTCAAGGCGTGAGTGAGGATTTTAACTGGGTTCGAGGCTAGTGTACAAGTAAATACTATACTTTTAACCACTAGAGCTACTAGTCACCCGCAAAGACGATGATAAACGATACAATCTTTGAGCTTCTCATTTTCTACAAATTCAAGCATTCCTTCAAGTATTAAAAAGAAAGATAACATGAACATAGCATTGTTTATGTGATCCGTGGTAAAGACCAGAGAAAAGAAAGAAGAGGCAAACCACTAAACCGCCGCTAATAAACCAACAAAATAAATAGGATAAGGAAAGAACCCCTTTGATGTTCGTCTATCTTCTATCTTCCTCACATTCCCGCCAAATGTGAAAGCCTCCACTAATGGATATACCTGTCAGTCTAAGCCTTCAAAATCTACCAATCAAAGAACCAAAACCAAAAGACTGGAACTTGATCATAAAGCACCACGCCGAGCTCAAAAATGACCATGCAATCCTCTCAACATATACCCAGATGGAATCTCTCGGAGTGGCACCCGATAACACCTCTCTGCCTCTGGTTCTCAAGGCATGTGCAAGGCTGAGTGCCGTCGAGAGAGGCAAGGGAATACATTCGAGTATTCGGAACACGGGTTTGATGAAAGATGTTAGAATTGGGACTGCCCTTGTTGATTTTTACTGCAAAGGCGGGCTTATCGATGATGCAGTTGAGGTGTTTGATGAAATGAGGGAGAGAGATTTGGTTTTGTGGAATGCTTTGATACATGGGTATGTGAGGTGTTGTTGTTACAAGGAGGCTATATCGTTGTTTATGCAGATGCAGAATGAGGGATTGAAACCCAATTCGCGTACTGTGGTTGCATTGCTTTCAGCATGTAGGGAGGTTTCAGAGTTGAGGTCCGGACAGGAGATACATGGCTATGCCTTGAGGAATGGTCTTTTTGATTTGGATGCTCATGTGGGTACTGCTTTGATAGGGTTTTATCTGAGATTCGACATTAAAACAACACGCCTTACGTTTGATTCGATGGTTGTGAGGAACATTGTCAGTTGGAATGCAATAATTACAGGGTATGTTGAAATTGGAGAGTACTTGATGGCCTTGAAGCTTTTTGTACAGATGCTTGTGGACTGGGTTAAGTTTGACTATATTTCAATGTTGGTTGTTATTCAGGCCTGTGCAGGAATTGGATCTATTGAATTAGGCAGGCAAATTCATCAAATGGCTATTAAGAATAGTTACAGTGATGATCTGTTCATAGTGAATGCATTGCTGAATATGTATAGTGAGTGTGGATGTTTCGAGCTATCACGTAAATTATTTGAATTTGTCTCCAGCCGTGATGTTGCTTTGTGGAATTCCATGATATCTGCATGCATTGAATATGGCTTTTATGAGGAAGCTTTGAGCTTGTTTTCTAAAATGCGAATGGAAGGAATCAGAGAAGACGAGAGAACTATTGTTATAATGTTGTCGGTATGTGAAGATTTAGCTGATGGCTTGAGGAACGGTAAAAGTTTGCATGCTCTTGCAAGAAAGAGTGGGATGAAAATGGATGCTTCTCTAGGAAATACATTGTTAAGTATGTATGCTGAATTTAACTGTGTTGAATCTGTTCAGAAGGTTTTTGCTGAGATGAAATACTCAGATGTTATCTCATGGAACACTCTGATCAGGGCACTAGCCTGCAATGGATTGCAAGATGAAGCATGGAAAATATTTGGGGTGATGCGAGAATCTGACACCAAACCTAACTCACACACAATAATATCTATCCTTGCTACTTGTGAAGATGAAACTTGTATAAATATAGTGCGAGCAATTCATGGTTTTGTGATAAAACATGGTATTGAAGCTGACCTATCTTTGAACACTGCACTAACAGATATGTACATGAATTGTGGTGATGAAGCAGCAGCTAGGACTCTATTTGAGGGCTGTCCCAGTAGGGATGTGATCTCATGGAATGCTTTAATTGCAAGTTACATAAAAAACAACGAAATCGGCAAAGCTCAGTTACTCTTTAACCGTATGGTTTCAGAAGTGAATCCCAACTCTGTGACAATCATAAATATTCTATCATCATGTACCCAGCTTGCCTCTCTGCCTCTAGGTCAATGCTTGCATGCTTATGCAAATCGGAGGCAATTCTCATTTGGTTTTGATTTGTCTCTTGCAAATGCTTTTATATCGATGTATGCAAGAAGTGGTAGTATGCAAAATGCTGAAAAGATATTTAAAATTTTAACAAAGAGGAATGTTATCTCATGGAATGCCTTGATTACTGGGTACAGCATGCATGGTCACGGACATGATGCTATTCATGCGTTCTTACAAATGTTAGAAGATGGTTTTCGACCAAATGGGGCAACTTTTGTAGCTGTTCTATCTGCTTGCAGACATTCTGGTTTGATAGAGATGGGATTGCAGCTTTTCCACACAATGGTACGTGATTTCAAGATATCACCTGAGCTTGTTCACTATGGTTGTGTGGTTGACCTTCTTGGTCGTGCAGGCCGCTTAGATGAAGGTAGAGAGTTTATTGAATCAATGCCTTTTGAAGCAGATGCATCAGTGTGGAGAGCCTTGCTCAATGCTTGTCGACTTCATTCTGCCACGAAGTTAGCTGGAGCCATATTTGAAAAACTTGTTGAATTAGAACCGATGAATGCAGGGAATTATGTTCTGATATCTAATATATATGCTGCAGCAGGTCTGTGGATGGAGGTCAGGCAGATAAGAACGCGGCTCAGGGAAAAGGGTTTAGAAAAGCCTCCTGGAGTAAGTTGGATTGTTGTTCAAAGCCAGGTCCATTGTTTCGTTGCCGGAGACACATCACACCTTCAATCAGATATAATTTATGCAAGTTTAAATTCTCTGTCAACCTTGATCAAAGAAAGGGGATACATTCCTGATCTTCGATTGGTTTTGTGTGACGAAGAGGGTTAGGTTGAAAGTGTGGTCATAATCTTCAGTTTTGCATACTGCTGAGGGTTGGGAACTTTTTAATGATCACTAAGAACTCAAAAAGGCTCTGTGATGGGTTCCATTGATTAATGTGTCTGTCGTTGTTGGAAGGAAAGAACATGAAAAATTTTGCATCTTTTTTAGGCTTGATAAACAATTCCCTCGTGTATATTTGTATTGAGAGTCTGTGACATACTTTTTTTGTTTTTGGTCAACCAGTCTGACATACATGAAAGAAAGCTTCCACATATAGTTTCTCAAAAGAATGAAAGCATCAATTTCAAAAGATGGAGAAGGAGCAGTCAATTTAAGAAGTTTGGTTATTGAGTTTCAGACCAAATTGTACACTTATAGAAACATTGAACTGTATATACAATTCACAATTCCAAGCCCAGATGAATTAATTTATAGTTACCTCAGGCAGAGCATAATTGTAATTTTTTTTTTCAAGAAAAATTATTTGAGTCAAAGGCTAATTCTTATAGCAATGATGCCACAAATGTACAAAAAAGGCCAGTGAATCTCACTCCGCAAAGATAATTACTAAACCAAAATTATCATTACGATTCTGTATTCAGCCAAAATTCTCAAAGTTTGTGTTTACAACAAATCGTCCCCAAATTTTAACAAGCAACTTTAAAATTCTTAAGAGGCAGATCAATTGTCTCCTTTCACTTTACCAATCTTCTTCGGCAACATGGTGATGAATGTTTCGCAAAACACCGCCATTACCAATAGTAATAGTCCCCAAAAACTATGGTTTTTTGTTCATGACTTGGATTTAGGGTTTAGTGGCTAAAATCCATTTTTAGAATACAAAAATAATTTTCTAGGATTTTTTAAATAATTGAAACCATTTAAAATTTCACAAAATTATTTAAGATAATTAAACATAATTAATTAGTATTTATGAAATTAATTATATATTTAAATACATATTATTCATTAAATAAATAATAATTAAAACATAATATATTTAAAGCATATAGCCGTGCGGCTATACGTTTTAAATATTCGAATATATTAAACGCGTATAGCCGGTCGGCTGTACTTGAATATTTAAGGCTTACAGCCGAACAGCTATACTCTTTAAATAATATATTTAAAAGGTATAGCCGATCGGCTATACTATTTATTAAAATAAAATAAAAAAAGAACCCGCCTAGACCGCCTAGACCGCCTAGGCGGCCGATTTTTCGAAAACTTGTATGGCGTTTTTTTAAAGACCTTTTTTTTCCTAGCAGGTCTGGCATCCTGCAAATACTCAAAAATGGAGATCGTTCCTCCTGTTGGTGATATGAGATATGAATCATTCTAGGACAAATCAAAGCAGAACATAGCCTCTTCTTCAGGGTTGGTGCTGGGAAGATCATTGTTCATCAGCCACTCCTTGGTTTCCATAAATTAGGGTGAACCTTGGGAGTCGCCTGCATTCAATCAATATCATCAGAATCAAATGACCAACTATCGCTTCAGTTTCAATTTCGAAAGGAAAGAGAGGAGAAATCTAATAGGAAAGAATTATAAAGCATGTCATTGTTTACCACTCCACCAGAATTAAGGTCCTTTGGCCATTTCCAGAGAAAATGAATGGCATTTGATGCTAACACCAAAATGGCATCACCTCCATTTGTGTAGACCAGCCAATGATCAGTAATCTGTCTGCAATCCGAAAACACTTAAGCTGCATTTAAACATTACATAACTCATCATTCAGCACAGCATAACACGAAGCTTTTAAACAGAAGCATAACTCATCATTGGCCTCGGTGATATTCTTAGCATTCAAGAACTTGGGGCCATCTCGTATCAAAGTCATCTTCCCAGACGGTACATGTAATATCATAACAAATTTTCACACATTAGAAGTGAAAACCAAGCTGGCACACCATGGTCAGCATGAACTGATACTCTCAGAGCTACTTCACAACCTTGGTGGCCAAAACGACGTTCCTCGCTCCTCCCCTGACCCTGAGTCTGGGCTCGCTGAACCACTGGATACATTTCTGTAGAGTCGAAGAAATTGATGCCGGACAGGAAAGCTTGGTCGAGGAGGCCGAACGACTCCGGAAACGTGTTTTGCTTGCCGAAAGTCATCGTCCCTGCGCGAAGAATGAATTTGTATTTGAGGATGAGAGGGAGGAATTAGTATGTAAATATTTTAATTAATTTCATAAATTACTTCATAAATTGTAATTAATTTAATTTAATTATCTTAAATACTTTTGTGGAATTTAAAATTATTTTAAAAATAGTTTCAATTATTTTAGTATTGTAAGTTCCCACATATCAAAAGATGAGATGAACAATTTGAAAATTGATCTCTAAAAAGATTCAACCGAGCATCTGAAAGCCATAAAAGATGAAGCCCTTCCCCACGGCGAATCAGAAGTTCGACAGACCAAGCTGTACGAGTTCTATCAAATAGACAGAAAGCATTTGACTGAGAGTGCAATGATCAAATAGACAACCTGCACAGAGACAATCTTTGGACCCTTTCAGCTACCTGAACAAACCTCATCACCCCATATCTAATCTACAAAACAAAAATTTCCCTTCAATTCACATGGGAATTTTATGACTTATCAAAGAAAGGGGAAGAAAGGCAACAGTATGAAACTAACCTTACCAGAATCAACAGCTCGTCCAAGAGCATCAAGTTGTTTGTCTATAGGAATCGAACAAAAATGTCGGGTTGGATCATACTCAGTTTCTCCAAACATGGGAACATAGCTACAAAAACAGTCACTAATCATTTCAAGTCTTGCTAACAGGGATTGTGTAGGCACAAAGTCGAAAAAGCAAGACAAGCCTGGGTGAAGGCAAGCAAATTATGGAGTTGTAAACATATATAGTTGGGAAAAATAATGCGAAAGCAATGAACCTTCCCATTGTCAAATTCATGTCAATCTGCAAATTTACAGAAATGTGAAAGAAAAATCTGAAAACACTTAATCTGTCTGCAATCGCCAATGATCAATGTAACCTGTCTGTAATCGCCTTAAGCTGCATTGAAACATTACAAAACTCATCACTCAGCACAGCATAACACGAAGCGTTGAAACAGAAGAAAAATTACAAACTGTTTGGTTTAGCAAACCCGCCGTCAATGGCCTCGGTGATGTTCTTAGCATTCAAACACTTGGGGCCATCTAGTATCCAAGTCATCTGCCCAGGCGGTATCTGTAATATCAGAACAAATTTTCACAAATCAGAAGTGAAAAGCAGGCTGGCACACCATTGTTAGCATGAACTGGTACTCTCAGCGCTACTTCACAACCTAGGTGGCCAAAACGACGCTCCTGGCTCCTCCCCCGAGTCTGGGCTCGCTGAACCACTGGATACATTTCTGTAGAGTCGAAGAAATTGATGCCGGACAGGAAAGCTTGGTCGACGAGGCCAAACGACTCTGGAAACGTGTTTTGCTCACCGAAAGTCATCGTCCCTACGAAGAATGAATTTGTATTTGAGGATGAGAGGGAGGACCAAAGATTCAGACTCAGAGTCGGTAAGATTGGGGGCGAGGTTGAAGAGAGGCACCGCCATTGCTTCGCCTGAGAAGCTCTTTTGAGTTTGTCAACTGTCAGTGGAACGGGAAGGAGAAAAATCGTCCCACCAAAAAAAATAAATAATAAAATCCGCCTAGGCGGCCTGGGCGGGTTGAGTATAGCCGGACGGCTATACTCTTTAAATAAACCATCTGGCCGGACGGCTGTACTTCTCAAATATATTGGAATATTTAAAGGGTCTAGCCGGGCGGCTATACGCTGTAATATATTTGAATATTTAAACGGTATGACCGCGCGGCTATACTATTTAATATATTCGAATATTTAAATGTATTATGTTTTAATTATTTTTTATTTAGTGACGAATTAGTACTTAAATATTTTAATTAATTTCAAAAATTACTTCATAAATTGTAATTAATTATATTTAATTATCTTAAATTTTTTTTGTGGAATTTAAAATTATTTTAAAAGTAGTTTCAATTATTTAAATATCCTAGAAAATTATTTTAGTATTCTAAGTTCCTACATATCAAAAGATGAGATGAACAATTTGAAAATTGACCTCTAGAATCTACCGAGCATCTGCAGGATCCCCATTAAGTCTCCAAACCACAGCCCTTACGTGGACAAGAACATGATGAAACTATAAAGAATTGGAGGGAGAGGTGTCGAACCTATTGCAAGAGATACTGGATGAACACTGTACTCATGAACTGTTGTACCCGTTTTTACCTAATTTTTTTAAAACCAGTATTGCCGAGCAGCTTTACTCGGTATTTTCTTAATTTTTTTAAAAATAGTATAGCCGTACGGCTATACTCGGTTTTTTAAATATTCTGGCGAATCGGACTCGAACTCATCACCCCGAACGTCTAGGGCACAGAGCAAGCCCGTTCCATGTTTTGAGCAGTGTTCGAGATATCGGCCTTGGCGCTAGGCGGGAGGACACCGACACCAGGGAGTTAGGGGGGGCCTAGGAGGCCTGGGAGGATCTAGGCGGCCTGGGCGGATCTAGGCGGCCTGGGCGAGTCTGGGCACCAAGGCGGGTCTGGGCGCCAGGGCGGGTCGTGTCCTTTTTTTTCCCAAATGAAGACAGACGAAGCTTGCTGTTGTGAAGGAGCAAAGGTGACATGTATATAGTGTGTGAGAAGGAGGAAAGGTGACATAAAATAAGGAAAGGCATAAGAAATGAGGGGTTTGTTTCGTGTGGAGTGAAAGGAGGAGATAGAAAACTGTGTTTCTGTTGTTGAGAGAGTGAGAATTGGGAGGCAAATGAAGAGGGAATGAGAGATTTATAATTCCTGGTGGTCTTGGTTGAGGTAAAGAAAAGGAAAGGATAAATTAGTCGTCAACACGCATGCAGGGAGGCGCATTGGCATTGCTCACCAATGCCTTTCTGCTTTATTGATTTCTTTCTAGTACTAGAAGCCTAATGTTACTGTCTAAGAAAGAAAGGTCTCTTGGAGCTTTATAACTGGATTCAAGGGCATCTTCCAGCTAATATGACAGTGGACCATGGAATGTATTTTGTAGAATGTGTTGACTTTGCCAAATCCGTCATCCAACTGTATATCAAAGAGGTATGTCTTCTTTATCTTTGAAACTAGGAGTTTTTTTTTGTCTGTGTTTATATGCAACGTGATATAAGCAAAACAGGCAATCTATTCACCCATACCCAAAAAAAGAAAAATTGTATCCATATTTTGTTTTGTCTATCTGAATGCATCATCTTATTCAACAATTTCACGTACTAAAATTGCAGTTCTGTATTCTTCATTTGTCGTATTTTTCTTGCAGTTTTTTAGACTCATGTCCTCATTTCTTGGCTTGTTTTTGAACTGTAGGATGATGTATTATTCAAAGTGCTCTTGCATATGCTTTGTGTACCTTGTTGTGCAGAATAGTAAGGAATTAATATCCTAGTTTTCCATTGTTTTAAAAGTTATCGTCATGGATTCCTTCTAACAAGATTTTTGGGTTTATATAGGGATGAAAAGGAAAAGGTTGCATTGGAGGATTCGAATGGCAATTTACTTTTTAGTGTATCAGATCTTTTCAATCCTGTACTCTTGTTCCATCTTTTCGTATTAGAGGCAAGATGGTCACTCTTGGACATTTACATATCTGCATTTCCACTTCGGCATGCCTCCTAGTTGTTAATTTGAAGTATATGGTATTGCAGAATAAAAAAGAGTCACTGACATTATGCACTTTCTTTTTTCTTCCTATTTTGCAGTTGAGCTATGACCATCAGGTGCTTCTTGATTACCTTATTTCAAAAGATACCGGAATCAGTTGTGCAGAATATCTTTTAAGGTATTTTCTCTTTCTACACCTTCTCTTAACTTATGAAATCTAAACCGTGGTGGGCCGCATTTTTCTAGTGTCGACGTCGGTGACTAAACTATAAAACATTTACCCTCTTGACAGGACCCGCCCCGAATTTCCCGGAACCCGAGACGAACCCTGCGGAGACCCCGGCATCACACCCACGCCGGGTTCACTCCTTAAAACTACGTCCTCTTTTACCAGAGAGGATTTAGGGCACTAGACTTTCTGCCAAAATTTCGGCAGAGTCTCCCCTGTAAATTGAACATTCCCCAATATTTCCACCTGCATAAAACACATTTTATAACCCAACCAGCAGCAAGCACAATATAATCTCATGCAATTTACATAAATGGCCTCCGGCCTTCAAATGATTCTAGCAGAACTGCCCACACTGTTTTTAAAATAACTCCATGCATTAGACATGCATATATCCAATTCAAAATCTATCCATACACACCTTCACTCACTCAGTCCACCGGACAAGCCTCAATTCAACCAAGTTTCGGGACCAACCACGAGGTCCGCATCATACTCGATAAAACCACCTAAGTGGTGTCTAGGTCGTGGCTGCACCTAGGCGCTATCCCAGGCTGCCTACGTACCCTACTAAGGGATCAAGCCACACGTAGCTCTTTCTTATCAATCCTGGCTCCTAATATCAAATAAACCATTACCTCCATATAAATTCATACATTCTCGGGTTTATCCATCACAACACACCAAACACAATCACATAGCTCCCCTCATACGTCGGGACGCACCCGGCCACGTATGGGGTCTGTCAACACGCCGGCTAATCCAAAGATGCGTGCGACCTCACACTGGGCCTGGCTACATTCTCACCAGCCATCACACAATCATATCTCCCCTCATACGTCGGGACGCACCCGGCCACGTATGGGGTCTGTCAACACGCCGGCTAATCCAAAGACGCGTGCGACCTCACACTGGGCCTGGCTACATTCTCACCAGCCATCACACAATCATATCTCCCCTCATACGTCGGGACGCACCCGGCCACGTATGGGGTCTGTCAACACGCCGGCTAATCCAAAGACGCGTGCGACCTCACACTGGGCCTGGCTACATTCTCACCAGCCATCATACTATCACTTGGGCCTGGCTACATTCTCACCAGCTATCTTACTGTCACTTGGGCCTGGCTACATTCTCACCAGCCATCATACTATCACTTGGGCCTCAACATAATCACAATATGGGGGGGTACGTGGGGTAGTGCGTATAGCACTGTAAACTAACATTCACTCTCCTTATATATCATTATACATCCACACAATTAATTAAATATATCATATAATTTCTAATCACACGATAACATCCACCAATAAAACATTCCATAAACTCCCACATTTAAATTCACCAATTTATATCCTAAACCCCCAATATCCATTTAACTCAACAACGCTCAAGACCTGTCACTAAGGTCATTCTAACCCTCAAATAAAGGTAAGACTATCTCGGAAGTCTCACGGTCAACCTAGGGTCAAACGGGCCTACGGGACCCACAACCTCCAAATTCCGGTCCGAGAGTTCCTATAGGTTCTATAGGCTCTAGGACACATGTCCTTCAAGTTTGGTCCAGATCGGACGGTCGGATCGCTCACGATCGCAGGATCGGACGGTTACTAAAACCCTAACCCCAGGGTTGGCATTTCCGGAGCATCCGGGAACTTCGTTTTACGATCCGTCAAATCCTACACGATCCTGGTAATACCTAGATCAACATATTACAATCTCAGGACCATCCAACGGTCCAAACCTAGCGAACCCGGAAAATACGCGATATGCGATATCCGTTCGGGACTCTAACGATATCCAAATTGAGATCCGAGCGCACCTACGCGCTCATGACAACCTGAGGATCCCATTGGGACAAAAATGCCCCTCAACTACAATGCCCACGCGCCGCCCACGCGCCGGCAGCGCGTGGGTGTCCAAAGCGATAACCCATCGCCGGAAAAACCACAAATCACGGCTCAAGACTCCTACCCTAGGTAAAAAACCTAATTTGGAGTCACTTTTGTTCTTGGACGTACCCCAAAAACTGACCGGAAGTGGCCGGAATCTCATCCCGAAATCCGGCCGAAACCCAATTCGTAAATCGAGTTGCCTACGCTACAAATCGATCAATTCCTACCCAACAGGCAGCTAGAGCTCGGAAAATAGGTGAGAAACCATACCTCACTTGCCGGAATCGGTGGCCAGACGACGGAGAACAAAGCCGGCGAAGTTTCGGGCGAAACCGAGCTTTTCTCTTCGATTTTCCGGCGAAATCACGGCAGCTGGCGGCAGGACCTGGCCGGGGTAGGAAGAGGACGGCGGCCCGGTCATTTTGGTACCGGCCCCGTCAACTTTGGTGGCCGGACGAGAGCACGGCCGGCCAAAACGTGGCCGGCTGTCTCAGCCGTCGCGAACCAGAGGAGAGAGAGAGGGACGCGCGGGAGAGAGAGAGTGTGTGAGAGACGGGGGCAATTCCGTCTTTTAACCAAAAATCCATTTTCCAAATATTTACGATTATGCCACTGAGCTTCTTTTGATCATATCTCTCTCGTTACCACTCCGATTCGAGCCCACTACGTGTCTACGGACTCATCTCGCCGTGCTCTACGCAACGGTAGATCCAGAATTCCCAAATTCCTTCCGGGGTAAGAAAATGACTAAAATACCCCTATCCCACGGGTAAATTCTCAATTCCACTTAAATAAATTAAAACATGGGATAAATTTGGGGTCGGGGTGTTACACCTCTGCTTTTACATGACTTCTTAACTAATTAGCAAAACAGAATCAATTTGGTTGACCCCAGATAGTTGTTTTTAATTGCAACTCTTTGTATCTTTCATTTGCTTCTTACCGTCCTTAATGCATTCTCTTTTAGGTGCTTGTGTAAAGTGTGTGATTCATGGAGCTTATTTGTGGAATTTCTAGTGGGTGGGCAAGCTACAAATCAATCATTTTGCAAGAAAAGAAAAGTTTCATTGGGTGGCTCGAGTTCCTGGGGAGAGGATTCTCTTGCACCAACAAAAAATCATCTTACATTTCTTGATGATGACCCTGATGAAGAAAATGAAAATGGCTGCAAGCACACCTAAAATGGAGGACGGTATTTCAAAGAAGCCAAAGAGTGCTTACTTTCACTTAAAATTTCTATTGAAGGTCTACACCAAAAGAATCTGTTTCCCTACAATCCTAATGTTCTTCTGAACCAATACGTCTCTTTGAAATGAGTTTCATTATGCTTCCCAGTAAACTAGTGATTGCTCTTACTATAGGGTTTGATTTTATTTTGAATTTACTACAGTCAACTTCTTTCTTTCACTTTTAGTTTCATTCGTTCCTCGTGATCATGACTTATCCAAACTAAACTGGTTGCTCTTTGCTTGCAGCTTAACAAGATTTCAGGAACTCTGTTTTGAGGAAGAGAAATAAACTTCTAAAAGAATGAACTTATCAGCACAGATTTTTGCAGAGCATCATTTATTCCTTTGAGTTGAAGTGATAAAATGAGACCTTGCCAACCAATGAGGCCAAGTCTCGACGAAAACTCTTTGAGTTTCCTTGAGGCAGGCAACTGGGCCACAATCAGACAATGCTGGAAAGAGTGCTTTGAGATCCTCATGACTCTTTGAGGCCATATATGGAAGAAGTGAATGCACTTTGTGGATGAACGTTGTTACATTGAGCAGTGAAGGAATAGAAGAACAAGCTTTGTAGTTAAGGTAATTTAGATTCTATGTATAGAATTTCCAATTTTTTTCCTCAACAAGGATAGGCGAAGAAATCTAATTCGTAGCATAGTTAAATCCACCAGATGAAGTCAAAGTGATAAATGGTTCAGATCACACGTTCATGTTTGTTGTCTAGACCAGTAAAGATGTTCTCCCACTTCTAGGATATTGCTAAAAAATACTTTTAAACATACCAGCTGCCAGAGACAGATAGAAAATCACCTGCTAATGCACTATACATATTCGATATGAATAAACTATTGTCAAAGAAAACTATACCTGATATTGATGTACAAGTCTTCCTTATTATCTCAAACATTCTTCTCATTTCAAAATATAAACTTCTGGTTTCTTTTTCCTTGTTACTTGGCATGATGGCGAGAACAACGTTACCGGGCGGCTTTACTCGGTACTTTCTTAATTTTTTTTTAAGTATAGCCGTTCGGCTATACTCGGCTTTTTTTAATATTCTGGCGAATCGGACTCGAACTCATCACAACGAACGTCTAGGGCACAGAGCAAGCCCGTTCCAGGTTTTGAGCAGTGTTCGAGATATCGGCCTAGGGTTTTTTTTTTTTTTTTTTTTTTTTTTTTTTTTTTTTTTTTTTTTTTTTTTTTTTTTTTTTTTTTTTTTTTTTTTTTTTTTTTTTTTTTTTTTTTTTTTTTTTTTTTTTTTTTTTTTTTTTTTTTTTTTTTTTTTTTTTTTTTTTTTTTTTTTTTTTTTTTTTTTTTTTTTTTTTTTTTTTTTTTTTTTTTTTTTTTTTTTTTTTTTTTTTTTTTTTTTTTTTTTTTTTTTTTTTTTTTTTTTTTTTTTTTTTTTTTTTTTTTTTTTTTTTTTTTTTTTTTTTTTTTTTTTTTTTTTTTTTTTTTTTTTTTTTTTTTTTTTTTTTTTTTTTTTTTTTTTTTTTTTTTTTTTTTTTTTTTTTTTTTTTTTTTTTTTTTTTTTTTTTTTTTTTTGTTGGGCATGGCAGAGGGGAGGTTGAAGGCGAATTGGGGTGCAATCGCGAGTTGAATGTATGCGCGGAAGGGGCTCAGCGTTAAGGAGCAAGAAAAGGGTGGTTGGGTGCGCAGTTACGGGTTATACCAGGCGGGAAGCCAAGTATAAATTGATGAAATAGTGAAATGCCGAGAGACCAATCCTGCTTCTGATATTTTATTTTCAACTGATTTGCTTAGAAAAACGAGAACACGTTTTATTTTTTGCAATCTCGTTGAAAATGAGTAATTGTTGGTGACCCTTCTTTTCTTTTTCTTTCTTTTTGGCCTTTTTGGGGTTGTTTCTGTGTTTTGTCTGTTTGGGACAGTGTCTTACTGCCAGACAAGAAGTTATAGAGGATGGAGTAGCAGGTGCTAGCTCGCAGCTTATATATATGCCCCCATTATGTCAGAATTCATTTCCTTTGTTTGCTTTGCATAATTTCTCTTTATTTACTTCAGAATATTGGATTGTAAATGTGTTCCGTTGTTATCTATATAGTAGCTCCTTTTTTTCTTCATTTCCTTTTGAAAATCATTGTTTATCGTAAATCATGTGCTTTTAGACCATTACCACAAACAGAATCTGTGTGTTTTTATTTTTCGCGCTCTTTTGATTGTTGCTTTATTTCATTTTTCGGTTTTTGCGTTTTTCTATAGGTCTGGTGTAACTGCTTTTTGGACTGCTTGATAGATCTTCTCTTGTTGCTAGCCAACAGGTCAGTTTCTATTCATCTGTTGAAGAGGTCATGCATATCAACTGTGGAAAATTGGTTTTTGGATATTGTGTCATGTGAAAATTGTTAATTTTGTGGGTTTTTATATTTTGCTTATAGCTGGTGTTAAAACTTAATGATTGGTTGTTGAGTTTTTTGGATAGGTATTTCAATTGAGGAAGCTGAGAGAGAGGTCCAAGAAGAGCCAATGGTCAAGTGCGTTCCCATTATGATGTTTGTTCTCTTTGCCGTTTATACTTTATTTTTTTCTAATTAATAAATTGTACCCATTTTGATTATTTGTTCAGTGTCTAATGTATCAATGTTTTTTTTGCGGTGAGAAGTGGTTCCTTCCAAACTCTCCTCCTGGTGAAATCCAATTGTTGCCAATGGTCTCCACCTTTGACCCCAAAGGCGGCACTCTTTATCACATTTATTTCGCTTTTTCTAATTTGTTGTTTCCGATCATTTGAATCGTAATTTGTAATTTGATTTTTGGCTTTGTGGCAGAGATGTGAAGAGGCTGCGTCAGAGGCATCTCTCGTCGAATATTATGAAAACCTATCAGCATATCCACACCTTCTTCTTTACACCTATTTCTCGGCACATCCTCTCAAAACTTAAATGCTTAATGCCTCCACCATAGCCTTGGGTAGTTTTTCTCTTCTTCACTTGGTTCCATTTTAAGTTTTAACTTTTTAAAATTAAAAATCTTATTCTAAATTTGTTACTTAAATCCTTAATTTTAGGATTAGTTATGGTTTATTTTATATCTTATAATGCATTGAGATGTGGACAATCTCCTGTTTGTGTCCCTTCCCCTTCGACTCTCTTTTTGTCTTCATTGTCTCATGTTCATCGTTCCTTGTTTCTCATCTTTTCTTGCGCGTTCTAATCCCTCTTCTTGAAAATTGCAACTTCCCCTTGGACTCGCTTTGGTCTTCATCGTTTTCATCGTCTCACAGACGTTGTCTCATCTCACCCTTCTTGACACTTTCCTATTGAGAAAGAAGTAGTAAAAAGCGAAGCCAAGCAAGTAAAAATCGATAAGAGGGGTAAGCTTGCCTATGAGAAAAATGTTGGTTTAAAGGTTCTTTTGGTTTTCTAGGTTGTTATATTCATTGTCAGGTTGAAAATTGAGAAGTAAATCAAAATTGACTTTGGGTTTGTTGTTATAGGGAGGAAGATCGAAAGAAAAGAACTGGAGAAAATCAATACAGGAACCCCCAGTCTGATGTCAATGGTATGAATCTCTCTCTCATATTTGGTTTTGTTTTTAGTTCACCAAATGGTTTTCATCTATTCTGATTTTCTGATTTTTTATATGAGATGTGCAGTTGTTGCGGCTCTTAATTCTTCAATTTTCTCCATCTTACTTGCTAAAGTTGAAAGTTCACATTAGTTGGGTTGTTTTTGGGTCTTCCTGCTAACTACTTAGAACATGCTTTTAAGTTCAATTTTTGTTGGCCTGGCAATTTCCCTTTTTTAAGAATCTATTTCATTTGTTTTAACTTTTCCCTTTATCCATTTTTTTCCCCTAATAATTGAACATATTTTTCATCTTTGGGTAGCATTCCTTTTTCTACTTTGTTGGTTAAGCCAACCCCATTGTAGTGAGTAGAAGGAGATTTACAGTTTCATATTTCAACAGTTTCATAAAGAAAGCATTTAGGTAACATACAGACTATTATCCCTCTGTTGATTTCGTGGTCTGTTGTTGTTTTGTGTTTAGCTAATTTTTGGTTTAATGAAAAGATTGTGCATACATGAAATACTCAAGCTAATTTCTTCTCCGATTTTTTCTGTTTTTTTCTTCCTTTTTTTTTTTTTTTTTTTAAGACCATGTTTTCTTTTGATATTTTGCAGGTGGTCTTTCGTTGCTTTGGATGAAGCGGTTTGGTTGTGTTTTCAGTTCTATAAGTAAGGGGTGAGTTTCTAGGCTGAAATTTCAATTAATTGTTTTAAGTTTTGTGAATAGAGCATAGGAATTAGCTAATGGCATCAATTGACAATTGGTTGGTGTTAATTTGTTGTTGTAATGATAGGTTTAATGATTACAATATTTGAAACATGTTGGTAAACCCCTTGAGTATTTTGGCAATTGGGTAGTTGAGATGTTCCCTGCCTATTTCATTGCTTTATACACATTTTCACGCAATTTTAAAACCGCAGCATCGCGCGGGCACTTTTGCTAGTGACTCACTAAAACAAAGAGGAACAATCATTTAGCTCCATTTTTCCCAAACCTTAGTTTGACATATATACAACAATGATTCACTAAAAACACATAAGTGGAAAGAGTTCTGCACATGTGTCAAGACATACTGGTAAATAAGTTGACTACTTCAACTTCCAAGGATTGAATATGAATCAAATATTTTCCAACAAAGAGATAAAATAAAATAAAATATTTTATTTTATTTTGGGAGCTGCGTGGTCATTTATCTGTGTCTTGCAAGGAAGAATTTTTATTTTATCTTTAGGGGTCAAGTAAGAACTTCGAAACACTCCCTTCAGAGTAGGAAGAAAGATTGTGCCATTCTATACCCTCATCATGCTGCGTTTCCATATTCGTAGTGAGAGAGAATGCATTTTAATAATGAGTAAGTGGAATATATTATTTCCATTTAGCTGTATAAAAGCGAATTGAAGGTGTTCATAACTCTTCAATTTTCTTTTGAAAGAAAAAAAATAGTACTATAATAATAATAATATTTGCCCTAATAAACTAGCTTTTAATTTAGATATATTTATCTTCAGTTGGTTGTAGGAGATTTTAGGTTCGACTCACATAGACGGCTGCTGAGGTGAGGGTGATATATATTTGTGATGATGAGTTCGATATCTAGTTGTGATTTACTGCGGATATTGGACAGTTGTGTAAACCTATTGACCAGTTATAAAATTACCTTGTAAATATATTTCTATCGTTGTAAAAAATTTAAAAAAAAAGAGAAAAAAAAGGAAAGATAAATGCCCTAATTTAGTCTATATTATCTTCTTGTGTCTGTAATATGTTCCAATTAAACTTTTGACAAACGCTATGACAAATCTCCTTGATGATTATAAGGAGCAAGACACAAAAAAGTTAATCAAAAATAAAAACTGAAGCTCTCTTGAATGTTTGCGGTAAGAAATATGTTTTACTTATAGATGTATGCGCTACAAATCAGGCAAGTCTTTTACAAAGCACACTCCACCACACCCAACCCAGAGAAGGAAAAACCAGCCATTCACGAAATGCACAAGCAGCCAGCAAAGAAGTCATATCGACTTCCTTATTCCATGCTATCTTAAACATAGATATCGCACTTAAACATATATATGAAATCGAAGAAAAAATTATTTTATAGATCTATCTTAATCCTTATAATATTCCCTTAACAGTTATTTCTTGGTTCTGTCACGGTTGATTTTGATCCCTTTCTTCTGCCAGTGGACATATCCTCCGCAGAGACGCTCAAAACTCCATTTGCGTCCATATCAAAGTAAACATTGAACTTGGAACATGCCTGGGCGCCGGAGGAATGCCATGGAGGGTGAATTCACCCAAAAAGTTATTCTCTTTGGCTATTCTATTTTCACCCCTCATAAATGAGGAAGTCTACAGCCTCTTGGTAGTCATAACGAGTAGTTACACTTTTGTCTCCTCACCGGAATTCTTGAGTTTCTTGGAATCACAACATTCATGAAAAGCTCGGAACTACCATCTCCCAGACTCAATCCCAAGTGATAGAGGGGTGACATCTAAGAGAGTGAAGTCTTGAAGCTTCCCAGTTACGTTCCCACTCAAGGCTGCAGCTTGAACAGCGGCTCCATAAGCCACGGCCTCATCAGGATTAATGCTCTTGCACAACTCCTTACCCTTGAAAACCTCCTGCAATAGCTCTTGAACCTTGGGGATTCTAGAAGACCCACCAACAAGAACAACGTCATCGACCTCGCTTATGTCCATTTTGGCATCCTCCAAACACTTGTTCACAGGCTCCATGCACTTGTTGAAGATGTCCATGTTCAGTTCTTCGAATTTGTCGCGGGTAAAAGTTGTATGAAAATCTTCACCCTTATACCAAGAGTCAATTTCAATATCAGTGTCAAAGGAAAACGAAAGTGCCTTCTTTGCTTTCTCACACGCAGTTTTGGCCTTCCTAAGAGCTTTGGCGTTTCCACCAATGTCCACGTTCTGTTTTGTCTTGAATTCTTCCACGCAGTAGTTCACCATTCTGTTATCCAAGTCTTCACCGCCAAGGTGAGTATCTCCGGCAGTGGCCTTCACGTCAAAGACACCATGGCCTATGCTAAGTAGTGACACATCCAACGTACCACCACCCCAATCAAATATCATCACATTTCTCTTTTTAAACCAACCGGCCTTCTTGTCGATTCCATAAGCGATGGCTGCAGCAGTTGGTTCGTTGATAATACGCAGCACATTTAAGCCCGCTAGTTTGCCAGCCTCTATTGTAGCCTGGCGCTGTGAGTCGTTGAAGTAAGAGGGGACAGTGATAACTGCATTTTTTGCTGAAATCTTTGAGCAAAGGTAGGACTCGGCAATCTCCCGCATCTTTGCCAAAACCATGGAAGAGATGTCTTCAGCAGCAAATTTTTTCTCTTCACCCTTGTGGTTAACCACAATCAAGGGCTTGTCAGCAGGACCTTCAATGACCTTGAATGGCCAGCACTTGATATCATTTTGAACAGTTTCTTCATTAAATCTCCTACCAATTAACCTCTTTGCATCTGTAAAATCATTTTTAGATTATATGTGAGGAAGGAAACAAATAAACAATTAAGTATAATTGATCATATCATTTTAATCTTACCGAAGATTGAGTTGGCTGGGAACCTCCCCACTTGGTTAAATGCGTCATCTCCTACCAACCTCTTACTATCAGTGAATGTAACATAAGATCGAGTTGTTCTGTTACCATGATCGTTCACCAGGATTTCTACATGATCAGCCTGCCACGCTGCCACGCACGAATAAGTTGTCCCCAGATCGATCCCAATTGCATGGTTATCTTCTGTCATTATTAATTTTCTCGGCTGAAAATCTTGAAGAAGACTGTAATAGATTAACAAGGAATTTAAATAAGTGCAGAAAATAGACGTGGAAGAAAAATTTATACACGGAGGAAGTGAAAATTCTAATAAATCAAAGTTTACGCACTACAATTGTAAGAGAGACTTCAGATCTGCTGTACCCAAATCCTCTGTACCCTTTTTGTCACCTATCCAAAATTTTGACATTTGTCCCTCTACTTAATTGAACCCTCCATACAACCAACGTGGTTTTGATACGTGTCAAAATATTTGAACATTCTTTTTTATTGAAACTTTGTCATTGTTAATGAAATTGACAAGTGTCAAAACCCCATTGGTTTTAAGGAGGAGCTTTTCCATAATTTTAAGGAGGCAAGCCATGCTCATAAATTAAAGAGCACACCTTGGCTCCTTTAAACTAAGGAGGAGCTCTCCTCACAACAAATGAGACTCTTACACTTGCCAAATTCCAAAAGAAAAAAGGGTCAAAAGAATTCAAAAGGAACCAATGAAGTTTTAGTTAGATTAGCTCATTCCTTTGATGTGCTCCCAAGTGGTCTTGGGTTCAAATCCCCATGGTACCCGTGTGTGAGTTTTCCCCTCCCTCCCACTTCCTAACTACTGCACAAAAAAGAAGAAGAAGAATTATAAAAAATTAACAAGTCTCAAAACCCGATTTGTTTTGAGGAGGATCCTCAGTTTTAAGGAGCCAGTCCAGTAATGTGTGTTAATGTATGGTTTTTACTATTTTCTTTTGGGCTTCCCTTGACAACTTTGTAATAGGTTGTGTAATGTAATTTATCAAGCTCAAGTCTAGATTAGGGAAAACTTTTATTAGTGCTCCTCTCTAATCTCAGCTCTATGGTGGCTCAAGCAAGTTGACAAAGGTATTGAGCATTGCATATCATTTCATAAAACAGTCTTCATAAAAAGATGACTAGTCAACCGTTTCTCATATGACTAGTCATCCTTGCCTCCAGCTAGATAACAAACTGTTTTGTCCTATTCTTCTTTCTCTCTCTCTGCTGCCAAGTGGGTTTCCTGACCTAACGATTTGTGGTCTGTATAGCCCACGAGATTTCTCATTTGGCGTTGTCTCTTTTCGGGTGGAAGTTTTGGAAAGTTTGGCTTGCCTTCTTTCGCTTCTCCTTCCACGAGAGAACCATGATTTCATCTATGAGTTTTTCCAATTGATTTCTTTTTTGAAAAACTGCATTTGAAACACAAATCTGCATCTAGCTATTTGAATCATTCTATCATTTATATCTAGGTCGGATTCAAGATTGATTTCTTCAAGAGTATGGTTTCTTGAAGAAATTGGTCTTTCTCCTTTGAATCCAAATTGGTTTCGGTTTGTGTTGGAGCTTGCAAGCTAGTGCCATGGAATGAACGAGCTGGAGAAGGAGCTGCCATTGCCATGAAGGACTGAGCTTCAAGCTTTGCTAAGTTGGAGAAGAAGATTGCACAAAGGAGGTATTGCTCATATTCCTAAATAGACCTAGGTGCTTCTTGAGCTTGGTTGTGTTTCCTTTGTAAGAATCTTTTTCTACTTAGTGGAATGCCTGGTCGGTTGATGACTCCCAGTTTTTCCCCAATGGTGGGTTTCTGGGTGAACAAAATCTGTTTTGCATATCTGTAATTTTTCTGGGTTTGTGTTCTTGGTGGTTGACTAGTCATCTGTATCTGCTGTTTGGTGATTACATGATAATGATGATTTCACACACTTTCACCATAGTTGTTGCTAGCACAGGGGATGCCTAGATTGACGGGTCCTTCTGAGTGCCTAGGTTGTCACTAGTAATCTTCTAGGATTGCAGGTACATTGTGGCATGCTCTGTGCATTCTATTGGTTGCGATTGTTTCTTGACTAGTAGTTGACTAGTCATATGCGTATTTGGTCTAGGTTTAAAGTGTGTGAAGCTTGCTGTGTTGTTGTGTCTTGTTTGTGTGATTAAGTTTACCCCTTGTCACCTAAGTACCATTTCAATGTGCTCGCCCTTTTACAGTCGACTTTGATCCCCCTCCTAGTCATTGGCGGGCCTACAAAGGCGCAAGGAGGTGCAGTTGCACCTCCCCTCGCAGGAGAAAGCGTTGCAGGTGCGGAAAGTTGCACATCCACTCAGTCTTGTTGATTTTTAAAAAACCCTGGCCAAAACAACATCATTTTGGACCAGGGAAAAAAAAACCAAAAAGGATTCGTACTATAGACGGAAAAGGAAGAAACTCCTTCTATTAAGGAGATTTTGCTTTTAAAAAAGAAAGTCCCTTTTTGAGTGATTCCCACCAATCCAAGTCTATAAAATCATCAAATTCATAAATAAAACAATTTACATCTCCACCACCAAGTCTGTTTATTTTCTTGGTTTATTTTTATTTCTATTTAGAGAAAATATGTCCTCACTTACTTTGGAAGCTTGATCGATACAATATGTCCTCAGTTATAAAAACTGATTCATTGATCAAGTCTTGTGCCAAGAAAGAAAATATTGTATCGATCAAGCTCCCAAAGCAAGTTCCAATGTAATTCAGATTGATTCATAATATGTCTTTTTTAATATTTTTTTATAAAGCTTTTAGCCTTTCAAAATTATACTTCTGCTAAAAATTCTTCGGTCCACTAGTGCTCCCAGTACATTAGAGTAATTCAACAACATGTATTTTTTAAAAAAAATTATGACAAATTATAAGTTAGGCGCTACATTCTGAAACAGACAAAGTTCATGCACCCAAATTGTATTGAGAAAAAAATAAATAAATAAGAAAATTCTAAGCCTATGGAAAGTCTATCAATGATTCGTATGAGAGAGAATTTAGAGTGTATGTATGATGTATCTTCTCAGTAGTTATTGCTTATTTGTTAACTTATAGCATGTTTATTAACTTGGAATCAGAATGAAAGCATGATGACTCATGGTTACTAGTAATCATAATACTACCCCGTCACCATGGAGTCTGATCCTTCATTTTTCAAGAACATGGATGCGGGCCCCACTCTTGTTTTGATTCCTAAAGTGTTAGCAAACACAGAAATGATCATGATTTGCCTCTTAATCGGTTTTTGTTTGCTGCTTGGAGCCTCAGGCGTTTGTATCGTTTCTTCCCACTTGGGGTTTGCTTAATGATATCAAATTTCAACCCCAAAAAAAAGGGTTACTTTTTATCTTCGATCTATGTTTTTTAGATTTCAAAATCATGCGATTTCTTTTTTAGGTTAGGATTCTGATTTTACTTTTGTTAAAGGAATTTAGCCCAATGAAAGGGACTTTGTAGAACCATGCTAGCTGTCCTTAGCTCCCCAAATTCCCCCGCAAGACGACAAATAGCCCAAAAAATAAAAACAAAGTTTTAGACAAAGAAATATTGCCTTCCACCTGACCTAACTAAAGCAGCCGAAAGCATCAACGCAAAGTCGATCGCTTGCTGATTCCCTATGATGAACAATCAACATGACAGTGACCATGAATATAACTTAATACGAGTCAGCTGAAAGTCTTTGATGGGTCACCATACAACGACTAGTACTATCAAGTCATGCATGCACGAAACCCACTTCATTATCTCTCTCTCTCTCTCTCTCTCTCTTCAAGATTCCTTGTATAATTAAGTCACAGTTATTTTGATTTTTCAAAGAACCACTACTAGTTAGGAAGGAGATAATTATTGGAGGCTTCACCATCAACGGAACATGACATTGACGATGACCATGAATATAACATATATATGCAGCTGCATGCAATGCAAGTCAGCAGAAAGTCTTTGTAATGATGAGACGGGTCACCACAGATATGAACTCACTTAGCACTAAAAGAAAAAGAAAAAAAGCACGAAACCCACTTCATTATGTCTCTATATCCAATCACAATAAGGAATAAGAATCAAGATTCCTTGTATTCAAATTACCACTTCTCTTTTAGTTTCCTCTTATCAATAATTTTGAGAAATTATCTCTCTCTGTCTCTCTCTGTCCTCTCTCTCTCTCTCGGGAAAAGAGTGGAAAAGGCCAAGTTTTGGGGCCCTTGAGTTGATCAAGGAGTTTAGAGATGGTTCTGTTTTTTTGTTTTAATCTTTAATTTTTTTATCACGTGTGAAAGGGCAAGTTTTCAAAAGGAACCGGGTCTGACGAAGTTCAATAGAACTCTCGAGTCTTACAAGTAAAGGTAAGATGATTTCTAGTTGCCATTGTTGTCTTCCAAACAGGGACGGACCCTTCGTCCAAAAAAATAAAAAAGCCAAGACAGACCCAAAATTTCAAATGGGATGAGCTAATTAACCTTAAGGTGAGTTGTTAGATTTTGAACTAGGCTAAACCTTAAACATACATATACTAACTAATACTATAGATTAAAAATAAAAAAAAAATAAAGAGGGGGAAAAATCTCACTTGGGCTATAGCCCTGATTCTGATTGTCCATGGCATAAGATTGTCCCTTCCAAATAAAAAGGAAAAAGAAAAAAGAGAGGAAAAAGTATGAGTTCAACATTTCTATTTGATGAAAAAAAAACATATCATAATCATCTATGGTGTAGTTTCTAATTAATGATTTTCATAGTTGAACAAAGACTTGAAGTATTGGTTGTTTAGAGCCAATGGAAAATAGATGCCAAGTATTTTCTTTAAAAAAATTCTTCTTGTGGTGATGCCAATACTGAGAGTATAAATTTAAATCCCATACGGAGAAATTGGGAAGACACAGAGTTTTAAAAATGTTGCCATGAGTTCGTTTTGCAATTAGTTTTTGAATCACACATGGCATAAAAACTTTGGGACAACTTCAATGTGGTAGAAAAGGAGTATGAGTGAGGGTTTAAATAGTTAATTATATGTTATTGGATTAATTCAAGGGTCTAACTCCATAAATTTTCGAACGCACTTGCATTTAGTTAATTATAATTGTCCTCTATTATAATAAGGAAGGGAGACACACGCAAAATTGCTATGAGATATCAAACATTTATATTGAAGCTACAAACTAAATTGTGACAAATTA